GTTAAATACTTTATTGTGAGCAATAACTTTGTGCACGCCTTCTGTTTTTCTTTTTGTTTTTCTTCTTTTTGTTTTTCGAAGGGGCGCACAAGTCCCAACTGCTGGGCCCAACTGCCGAGCCTCCGCATACTCCCGAAAAGCTCCGAAATAAAGTGTGAAAACTGCCGAGCCTCCGCATACTCCCGCATACTTACATTTTCACCAAGAGTGAGAGAGGTAGTGGTGGTTTACAATAGTCCCTTTAAATATACGGCAAATTCTACCATTCGCAGAGGAGCAGGCGCCTTCAAACCCGCCGTTAAATTCATCCATCGGGCCGTATGAATAATGGTAGAATTAGTGGTAGATTTAAGGGCGGGGCTAAAAAAATGGACCCCGTGTTCGGATAAACGAGAAGAAGAACGACTCCCCGGGGCCGAGGTCTCACTAGCAAAGAGGATCGGATCGAATGCCTGAATCTGGATGTGTTTTATGCAGAGATGCAGAAAAGCAGTTCAATCTCGATTTCCTGCACCTCTCCTCAAACACGTCCAGATGCAGGCATTCGATCCAGTCCTCTTTGCTAGTGGGACCACGCTCCGGGAGCAGCCGAAAATAGCAGCACCGAAAAGAGGAGGAAAAAAAAAAACAAGGAGAAAAGAAGAGAACAATGAGAAAAAGAAGAGGGGAGAAATCAGCAGGGCATTCGAAAGGGTATGGTATGGGATCTTAGAAATAGAATCCCGTGTTCGAATAGTCTATCAGAACCACGTCCCATGATGTCAGACTCAGACATCTTCAGAGGGAACGAAAGAAAGGAGAAAGACGAGGAGGAGGAGGACGACGATGACGACAAGGAAGGACCATACTTCTTCCACTGTTATGGTCGCATATATATGCTCCATTTTTCAGTGGAAAAGAAGAACAAGAAGAAGAAGAAGAAGAAGAAGAAGAAATGAATTGGCAATAGAGAGGCCAATCGCGAGCTCTCCGAGTGACGAAACAGTATCTTCATCACACGTGCTTGCTCGTGCGAGGAGGAGGAGGAAGAAGAAGGGAGAGCATAATTCTCACAATTTTATGGTCGCATACGACTGTAGAAAGAGACGAAGAAGACGAAGAAGACGAAGAAGACGAAGACGACGAAGACGACGAAGACGAAGAGACGAAGAAGAAGAAGAAGAAGAAGAAGAAGAAGAAGAAGAGGAGGAGCAAACGGCTAAGCGAGGAGGCGGTGGCGTGAACGGAAGAGGAATAGTAAAGTGAAGGTGTGTAGGAAGGAGGAGACGGAGGAAAGACTCTGAGGAGGAATGGTAATGAAATACTAACAAATGTGCTAAACGAACAAACAAAGCATATCCGAACAAACTTCCTGTTGTCTAGTTGATGGTGTTCGTCATCTGATGATGGGGACCACCTCCGATGACGACAGGTTCCGATGCATGAATCCGAGATCTCTGATGATCTGATTGTTGGCGAAGTTGAACGCTCGGTCGTGCTGACGCTGGCACTCGTCAAAATCCTCAGAGTACTTCATGTAGCAAAGCGCGCAACCGCAGAAGTGCATGATGAAAGGTGGGTGGTTTCCATCGTTCCGCCACGTTTCACGCTCCTCCATGTAGTTGTCAAGATTATCCTTCTCGTCCTTCCAGTATCGGTTGATGTGGTACCTCTCTTCGAGATAGACACGTGGCAGCCATCGATCCTTCTGTGTCATGAGCATGTAGATGGCGCTCCCTTGATCGCAGAGATAACCTGGAATCCCCGGCAGAACCTTCTTCACCTTCAAATAGACCTCCGTCTGATTAGGATGGCTGTCCCATAGATCAACCATGGTATCGAAAAACTCCCGAGAGATGTCGTCGTTCCGCACGAACATGACCCC